GTTTGCCTATTGTCCATTCATTAAACAAAATATGAAGGAATATTACATTATTTTATATCGTAAACTCTAAACAAATAAAGCAAGGAAAGATATCCTTGTCCGACTCCCCATACAAACATTTCATTTGAGCAAATTTGATTTGTGTGACCTTGACCAAAACTTAAATCCATTCACATGAACAACCTACTTCCAAAATATCAAGACCCAATGGCCTTTGGTCATGAAGAAACACAAGTTAAAGGAAAAATGGAAAGGAAGCTATGTTTTTATTTTTAAGGATTGACTATTGACGCTATTTAGGCAAAAATCGGTATGCCGGGTGGCAGATTCCGGAAAGTTTTCATGTGGCGATAGTAATTGTGTATAGGCGATTGTGCGAATCCGGATAGGACTAAAAACGATTATGTACGTTTTGGTCAACAATAAAACTAATTGAATGGATTATTGACTTAATTTATCAATGTATATCAGTATATACACTTCAGAAAACGTGTTTTGTTACTTATTATTACAAATTATAATTCGTTGTTGCTAGGGGTTCCAAATTGCCGAGTAAGAGGATGCATGGTTGTTAGGATACCGTAATGTTTGAAAACGGCATTTCTGTAGTATTACCGGGTTGTCATAATATCCTTTCAATTTAAGCTGAAAAATCATTTGTATAAGTGATATATTTCAGTATTGGTTTTTGAAATTCGCAGTATCGTAAAGTAAACATCACATGGAAAACTAGGTTGACGCAGAGAAGTATGTAATATATATACGTCTCTAGTTGACGCAACTGAATGTTGTCGTCATGGCCGAGATATCGTTGTGCATCTGTTTGCTTTTATAAGAAGCAATGTTACAGCAAAATGTTGAAAATTACAGCTTCGTGAAGGTAAAGGATGAGCATGTTTTTTGTGTGTGTTTTTAAGTGTATACGCTCACAAGTCTTGTGTATGGCAGGTGGTTATTTAAAAAAAATAATCTTGTGTACATGAACCTTACTGATCTTTGCATAAGTGACATATATATAAATATACATAATATCAGGACTTCAATCCGTGATAATATACTACACTATATAAATATTAATGAAATTAAAATGTTTCATTCAAAGTTATTTTAGTCATGTACCACTATAGGACAGCGAATACTGTAAATATTAAGTATTTTTAGAGGAAGAAAAAGTATTTTGGAAAAATAATGATTTTCCTTAAAAAAATACACATTTTTCCCAATTTCCTAAGGTAAAAATTGTCAAATTCCTTCAGAAACTAAATATTCAGATAAATCTTCAAATTTTAACTTTCCTTATATAATGACCAAATATTTAGTCTGAAACTAGTTGAAATGTAGTAATTTTATCAAGGATGGCAAGTGACAATATACCAGCTATTAAAAAGAAAAAAACCACACGCACACCAGTTAACAAAAAAAGTGTCTTCTCAAAAAGTTAGTTTGGTTATCTTCTATGATTTTGTATGACAATTTTGTATTGATTTGCCTGAAATTCCAGTATTTTCTCCAAATTCAAAAGTTGAAAATAGTCAAATTATTCCAGGAATAAAATGTTTTGATACATCTACATACTTAACACTATTTTTAACTTAACAGCTAAATTTGTAGTCTGAAATCAGTTTAATTGTTAGGATTTCAAGTTATATAAGAATACAAGGTTTTGCATCAGACTATTTTAAATAATTCAAATTTCCAAATACATGTATTCCTCAGAAAATTACTTTTGTAGCTTTTGATGACTCATTATGTCCAATCATACAACCATATGATAAAGCTGTTGTTTTCAGGGAAAAAAGTGTACCCATATTTAGGAAAAGTATAAATTGTTTTCTCTCTCAAATTTCATCATTTACCCCATTCAACAGATTCAGCATCCTCAAATTTAATAAAAGTAAGTTGTTTTACCAAATTCTCATTAGATGTACCCAAAGAAATATCCTTTTTGTTTCGATACGTGGCCTAGTCTATCTGCAGACATGGTCTTCTTACTATATGAAGTCCACATCAACCTTAGCCATTGTGTGGACGCAAAGCCATGAACAAACCTACATATCTATATTGCAGTAATGGTGCAACAGCCTACATATGTCACAGTATAGAGGGCCGAGTCTGGTCAGCAGTGCCGTCATTATAATGGTGCAATAGCCTAAATATGTCACAGTATAGAGGTCCGCGTCTGGTCAGCAGTGCCGTCATAATAATGGTGCAATAGCCTACATATGTGACAGTATAGAGGTCCGAGTCTGTTCAGCAGTGCCGTCATTATAATACATATCTATATTGCAGTAATGGTGCAACAGCCTACATATGCCACAGTATAGAGGTCCGAGTCCAGTCAGCAGTGCCGTCATTATATTGGTTTGATGTACAAGTAAGCAGGAAATCTGAATCAAACAGATCATTTTATGTAAATGTATCAATCAGCTACACGTACTGAATAGAGGGCCGAGTCTGGTCAGCAGTGCCGTCATTGTAATGGTGCAACAGCCTTCATATGTCACAGTATAGAGGTCCGCGTCTGGTCAGCAGTGCCGTCATAATAATGGTGCAATAGCCTACATATTTCACAGTATAGAGGTCCGAGTATAGTCAGCAGTGCCATCATTATAATGGTGCAACAGCCTACATATACCACAGTATAGAGGTCCGAGTCTCGTCAGCAGTGCCGTCATTGTAATGGTGCGACAGCCTACATATGTCACAGTATAAAGGTCCGAGTCTGGTCAGCAGTGCCGTCATAATAATGGTGCAATAGCCTACATATGTGACAGTATAGAGGTCCGAGTCTGTTCAGCAGTGCCGTCATTATAATGGTGCAAGAGCCTACATATGTCACAGTATAAAGGTCCGAGTCTAGTCAGCAGTGCCGTCATCATAATGGTGCAATAGCCTACATATTTCACAGTATAGAGGTCCGAGTCTAGTCAGCACTGCCGTCATTATAACGGTACAATAGCCTACATATGTCACCGTATAGAGGTCCGAGTCTAGTCAGCACTGCCGTCATTATAACGGTACAATAGCCTACATATGTCACCGTATAGAGGTCCGAGTCTAGTCAGCAGTGTCGTCATTATAATGGTGCAGTAGCCTACATATGTCACAGTATAGAGGTCCGAGACTAGGCAGCAGTGCCGTCAGTATAATGGTGCAACAGCCTACATATACCACAGTATAGAGGTCCGAGTCCAGTCAGCAGTGCCGTCATTATAATGTTGCAACAGCCTACATATGTCACGGTATAGAGGTCCGAGTCTAGTCAGCACTGCCGTCATTATAACGGTACAATAGCCTACATATGTCACCGTATAGAGGTCCGAGTCTGGTCAACAGTGCCGTCATTGTAATGGTGCGACAGCCTACATATGTCACAGTTTAGAGGGCCGAGTCTGGTCAGCAGTGCCTTCATTGTAATGGTGCAACAGCCTTCATATGTCACAGTATAGAGGTCAGAGTCTAGTCAGCAGTGCCGTCATCATAATGGTGCAATAGCCTACATATGACACAGTATAGAGGTCCGAGTCCAGTCAGCAGTGCCGTCATTATACTGGTGCAATAGACTACATATGTCACCGTATAGAGGTCCGAGTCTAGTCAGCAGTGCCGTCATCATAATGGTGCAATAGCCTACATATTTCACAGTATAGAGGTCCGAGTCTCGTCAGCAGTGCCGTCATTGTAATGGTGCAACAGCCTACATATGTCACAGTACAGAGGTCCGAGTCTGGTCAGCAGTGCCGTCATTATAATGGTTTGATGTACAAGTAAGCAGGAAATCTGAATCAAACAGATCATTTTATGTAAATGTGTCAATCAGCTACACGTACTGACATAAACAGTCGTAGGGAGCATTATTGTTCGTTATCTGGTAAATGTGTCAATCAGCTACACGTACTGACATAGACAGTCGTAGCGGGCATTATTGTTCGTTATCTGGTAAATGTGTCAATCAGCTACACGTACTGACATAAACAGTCATAGCGGACATTATTGTTCGTTATCTGGTAAATGTGTCAATCAGCTACACGTACTGACATAAACAGTCGTAGCGGGCATTATTGTTCGTTATCTGGTAAATGTATCAATCAGCTACACGTACTGACATTAACAGTCGTAGCGGCATTATTGTTCGTTCTCTGAGTTCATATTAAAAGTAGATGCTGGTTATGTGATGTTCGATGCATCATTTTATCATTATTCAGTTCAAGTGTTTTGTAAGTTGTATCGAATTTAATGTATTGCCAAGTTGTGTTTCATTTTTGAAATAAAAGATACAAAACAATAATGAAGTTGTTACTTCTTATACACCATTTACAATTAACCTGAAAGAGCTTGCAAAATCAGTCAAGTAAAAGTTGAAAGGACCTCGCGTTTCCAAAAAGAAAGTCAAAGATAGCTGTCTGGTCCCAATAGTTCAGTTCAGAATAACCCGAAAATATAACAACACATTAACAGGAGCATCAGTTGATTATCCCTGTCATGTTTTAGTTAAATTGAGTCATTAGAACTTGCTGAAGATCTCAATACATGTCAAATTTGCACCCGCACAAAATAACAAAACTTAACCACGATCGTGTACTTGACACTCCAATGATGTCGGCCATCTTGATTTTCCAATCATCCCAAAAATTTGATATGCATAACTAGGGACCATGGAGAACCTTCATGTTAAATTCCAGAAAGATCCTTCAAGTAAGATCTGAGAAATAGTGCTAACAAACTCTCAAAATTCAACACGACTGCCAGTCGGACATCTTGGTTTTGTGATCAGTCCTGAAAATTGATAGGCATAACATTGGACCATGGGGAACCTTCATGTGAAATTTAGGAAAGATCTCTCCAGTACTTATGAGAAATGGCGCTTACAAGAATTGTTTAAGGACCATGTGACGGAATGACGGACAGACCACGAACGCAGGGTGACTTGAATAGCCCACCATCATCAATATCCTGAATTACAGAAAACCAATCAAGAACAATTAAACATGGTAAAGAGCATAAACCAAGTTTATTTACCATTTAACAACTACAAGTACTTACAATGTAAATATTCATTTAGTATCAATCAAATAAAATGTTTTTTTTTGGTAAAATTACCATACATACTTTGGATCCAAAACCAGACTAAATATTAAATATCAACTTGAGAGGTTTTAAACAATGTATTATCCTTGCTAGCTACCAGGTTCTCATGAAAGTTGATTCTTCAGCAACAACTTACATCCAATATTCATTCAAACTTGCAAGCTAGTATTAACACTGCAGACATATTAGCAATAACAAAAAACATTTCACTTAAACTATGGGGCAATAAAAGATAACAATATTTTATGTGTCAATTACAGGAAAATGACAGCCTTTAGATTTATTATAATTCTATACAAAACAAAATACATTACAGAATACATTAAAGGACTGTAAAACACTAGTCAAGAAAAAGAAATGACTGTAAAACACCAGTCAAGAAAAAGAAATGACTGAAGTTACATGTACCAAAATAAAGGATAGTGTAATGAAAGGGCTAAGATCTGATAAAATGATGGGTGTTATGATTTTGTTATGATTTACCGAACAAATCCTGTTACATGATTTTAGATTTATTAAATAAAATGTTAACATATATTTGTCAAGCAACTTGAAATCTCTCTTCTATGTTTGCACACTCATTCAAATTATTTTTCCAACATTTTACGAATTCTGTCAGATGTATTCTACCATAATATGCACACATATGTTGATTATATCTATTCTACCACATTTACCAATGAAAAGTGTTATTTAATCAAAGATGGTATAGAAAACATACATTTTTTGAACTGTCTACTGTAGCTGCACTTTCCTTCACTATCAACTCATGAACATTTCAAGTGTAGACATGCCACTTGTTTTTTTAACCAAACATTTCAGCTAAGTTTTCAAAAAATATCTGTGCTGATAATGCAAGTGTCCTACTGCTTGATGATAAAATTCCATATAACTGTGTATCAACAGTGAAGTATATCAATACAGTACACACTTTTACCTACCATGTATACCTATACATATCATGTTTACCAATGTATTATGTATACCAGAAAGTAGTGTGTATACCAGAAAGTAGTGTGTATATCAGAAAGTAGTGTGTATACCAGTAAATACTGTGTATACCAGTAAATATTGTGTATACCAGAAAGTAGTGTGTATACCAGTAAATATTGTGTATACCAAAAAGTATTGTGTATACCAGTAAATATTGTGTATACCAGAAAGTATTGTGTATACCAGAAAGTATTGTGTATACCAGAAAATATTGTGTTTGTATTGTGTATACCAGAAAGTATTGTGTATAGTACTGTGTATACTATGTAAAACATAACAATGGATGTCAAGTAAACCAATAAAAACTGTGCATCCAATAGCACTATGTATAGCTTATTCCTATTAAATATACAATAAATATGTCCACAATGACCCATGTAGCTATTATTGTTACTTGTTGGCCATCACCAAACATGATTTTTTTTATATGATATTGATATTTTCTGGAATGGAATAAAAAAAAATAAGAAAGGGACATAAAAAAACTTCAAAATTTGCATACATTTGACATTTTAAAGCAAAAACAGACAAATGGTAATTATTTAGGAGAAATAAGACATGGTTTGATTTTTTTTTTATATCTATGATTATTGAATCTCTCCACACATCATAAAAAATAGCAAAGATATCTGCTCTGCTCACTGTTAACAATTAATTTACATATCACAGTAGCAGTAACAACCAGCTTGCAGATGTTTTATTGCAATTTGTGGGTAAATTGTTCCCAATTTAAATAGGGAAATTTTTATCATCATCAGACTTTTACCTGATTCCAGGACAGCCAATAAACATGACTTAACAGGTTTGTTTGGCTTTATTTCCACTTCATTACCAAGTATTACAGTTATCCAGCAGAGAACAATACCTCTCAACCAACCATTAGGTTAGTGCTGTGATGAGAAGATCTCCGAGGGCTAATGTGGAACAGTTCCACCTGGGAATACTTCTGAATGGCAAGACTTCAACAATTACCAGGGTATTTGTACCATGGAATCCCTTTGGTAACATCTTCTGACAATATGTTAATGAGGAATGGACAGTACAAGGGACACATTATGTATCTAAGGAGAACACAAATGAAACCGAATGCGTGCAGAACAAGAACCATTTTCCTCCATAATTATGTAGTTTTTATATAGTGATTATCCATTTTCTGGCATTTTTCCGAAAACAAAATTGATCAAAAATAAAATGACATGTACTTTTTGTCTAGACTTTAAAATTAGGACCAAATATTGTTTAATAAAACAAACCAATTATACTATTAAAGATTGCACACAATACCACTAGTTAGAATCTGTGATCTGTACCAAACGAACAGAATTCTAGGTAAATACTTAAATGATTAACATATATGGAGATGTTGAAAAGGTTAAACGAAAATATTTTCAATCTTCAAATGAATTCCTGTATATTTACTTTGTATCGTGTACAGTACAAAGGAGGGTGTACTTTGACATGATTCTGAGGTTCAGATTATGAATATGACATCTAATTTTGATTTCACGTGGTAATAAATAACTTATAAAAAGGAATGTGATCACTACTTTTGCTGTATATACAAATGAGGGATAAAATATATAATTATGTACTCGTATTAATGATCCGATAGATTACGATCTTAAAATCTCTAGATGACCTATACCCATGATGACATTTAGTATAACTCTGGTCTTTAATCGGCCTTAGTACTACTTAGTAAGGAGGTAAAAAAAGCATCTTTGTTTCATAATTGTATAAATGTATCAGTCATTGGATACCCACCCCCCCCAAACAAAAATATCAATAAAAAAATAATAATAAAAAATCACACATCAGATAAATAATACGTTTTCCATCTAAATAACATTTGTTCACAAGAATATGTTTATTAGAATTATATTATTACTGTCTTTACCATTTACATTGCATGTACACTATAGCAGGGGTGGGCGTTGCTACCAATTAAAGGCCACAAGGAACTATAAGGCTAAACTTGATTAGTGTAATTCTATACCAAATTGCTAGACAAATGAATCACAGGCGAGTATTTGCAGTAATATGTCACCAGTTTATGACTAAAAGAGATTGTTTGTAATGTATAAGTGGTAGGCCACTAAATGAGCTTTCATTTTAAATGAGATAAATAAAACTTAAACAAACTTAGACAAATTACATATCCTTTATATCTCATCACTAGGAATGAAGCTGTGAGAATACAACCTTCCCTAGTCAACACTTCCACATCAGACTTCCATTTCTCCTTACTTTTCATTGAATTGTCTCCCTTTTTACCGGTTCACTAAATGGTATGACAGATGACACATGTAAAGAAACAATACAATGACATCAGGGAAACAATACATTATGATGTCATGGTCAGTTTTCAACAGTAGAGGTCAACTGCAATTTCAGGATAAAACGCAGATTACAAATTCTGATAATTAACCTACATTGCTTTTTAAAAATTGTATCGTTAGGATGGGAGAAAAATAATTATCCCTCATATGTTGAGGGTATTCTGGACAGAAATTCAAACTTCAGAGTGAGATTTTTGAATGTCTAACCTTCGGTTTGAACCAAACCTCAGGTTAGACAACCAAATATCACCCCTGAAATTGAGATTTCTTTGCCTTAACCTCAAAGTAGAGGAAACCCTTAGTCCATTGTCTTATTCCACAACCCAATGTCATGGTCTTCATTCTGACATTACAATTTAAAATTAAATCAAGTAAAAGGCTTTGATAGTGGTGTAAAGTCACAGCATAACCCGATAGCTATTCACTTACAGCAGTAATGCCTGATGTTTATGCTGTACAGTGTAATCGCATTATTACCAAAACATTTTACCTCATCACACTATTTTCAGGACAAGTGATCAGTGTAGTTACAAGTTTGTTTACCTGAGATAAGATATAATTCACCACAATACCTCAGGGCGGTCATTACATATATATGTAGCACTATAAAGATTAGTTTATACGTAGTATATCATACGATATTATATCGCTGGATTTCAAGCAAAGCACAATTAAGTATAACAACAAACTAACACCCCTGTATCACAGTGGAGTGTGAAGTCAGTTAGGGGTACCCCAATAAGTTACAGTGGAGTGTGAAATCAGTTAGCGGTACCCCAATTATGTTACAGTGGAGTGTTAAGTCAGTTAGAGGTACCCCAATAGGTTACAGCGGAGTGTGAAGTCAGTTAGAGATACCCCAATAGGTTACAGTGGAGTGTATAGTCAGTTAGGGGTACCCCGATAGGTTACAGTGGAGTGTATAGTCAGTTAGGGGTGCCCCAATAGGTTACAGTGGAGTGTATAGTCAGTTAGGGGGACCCCAATAGGTTACAGTGGAGTGTGAAGTCAGTTAGAGGTACCCCAATAGGTTACAGTGGAGTGTATAGTCAGTTAGGGGGTTCCCAATAGGTTACAGTGGAGTGTATAGTCAGTTAGAGGTACCCCAATAGTTTACAGTGGAGTGTATAGTCAGTTAGGGGTACCCAAATAGGTTACAGTGGAGTGTATAGTCAGTTAGGGGTCCCCCAATAGGTTACAGTGGAGTGTAAAGTCAGTTAGAGGTCCCCCAATAGGTTACAGTGGAGTGTATAGTCAGTTAGAGGTACCCCAATAGTTTACAGTGGAGTGTATAGTCAGTTAGGGGTACCTCAATAGGTTACAGTGGAGTGTATAGTCAGTTAGAGGTACCCCAATAGGTTACAGTGGAGTGTATAGTCAGTTAGGGGTAGCCCAATAGGTTACAGTGGAGTGTATAGTCAGTTAGAGGTACCCCAATAGGTTACAGTGGAGTGTATAGTCAGTTAGGGGGTTCCCAATAGGTTACAGTGGAGTGTATAGTCAGTTAGAGGTACCCCAATAGGTTACAGTGGAGTGTATAGTCAGTTAGAGGTACCCCAATAGTTTACAGTGGAGTGTATAGTCAGTTAGGGGTACCTCAATAGGTTACAGTGGAGTGGATAGTCAGTTAGGGGTTTCCCAATAGGTTACAGTGGAGTGGATAGTCAGTTAGGGGTTTCCCAATAGGGTACAGTTGAGTGTATAGTCAGTTAGGGGTACCCCAATAGGGTACAGTGGAGTGTATAGTCAGTTAGGGGTACCCAAATAGGTTACAGTGGAGTGTATAGTCAGTTAGGGGTTCCCCAATAGGTTACAGTGGAGTGTATAGTCAGTTAGGGGGACCCCAATAGGTTACAGTGGAGTGTGAAGTCAGTTAGGGGTACCTCAATAGGTTACAGTGGAGTGGATAGTCAGTTAGGGGTTTCCCAATAGGGTACAGTTGAGTGTATAGTCAGTTAGGGGTACCCCAATAGGTTACAGGGGAGTGTATAGTCAGTTAGAGGTACCCCAATAGGTTACAGTGGAGTGTATAGTCAGTTAGAGGTACCCCAATAGGTTACAGTGGAGTGTATAGTCAGTTAGGCGTACCCCAATAGGTTACAGTGGAGTGTAAAGTCAGTTAGGGGTACCCCAATAGGTTACAGTGGGGTGTGAAGTCAGTTAGGGGTACCCCAATAGGTTACAGTGGAGTGCATAGGCAGTTAGGGGTTTCCCAATAGGTTACAGTGGAGTGGATAGTCAGTTAGGGGTTTCCCAATAGGTTACAGTGGAGTGTATAGTCAGTTAGGGGTACCTCGATAGATTAACTCGTATTGCTCTTCCTCTCATATCGAGGAACAAAGCTGTTTAAGGTCCTAGTGGTCTTTGCGTAATAGAAAAGCACTAACTTCATAAGAACACTTCAGGTGGCGTAAGCCAACTCCCGTGTAGATGTATACTTAACACAATTCATATTTCTGATATTTCATAAAAAATACTCATAATGATGGTATTTAACTAAATAAAAACCATGGGGCTTAGCATTTTTTGGGAAAATATAGAATAATTACAGAATATTCTAAAATTCTCAAGAAATAGCCACAATAACATTTAACCATGTAAGAATGTAGTGAAGGATGGGGCCACTCAGTCTTGTAAAAGGATTAGGGGCACTTGATAGGTGCAATACATTTTACAAACTCGTGTCGTTTGCAATAATAACTCTTTTTAAAGACATTGCAACAGGACTAAATATCAATGGTATTCAACTCTTACAAAATTCCCTGGATAATCATACAAACTTTTTTTTGTATTCCTGTGAAAAAAGTAAGATTACTAGTCAAAAAGTAACCATTAAAATTGAGTATGGTAGTCTCGTTTAAATATTATAAGGAAACCATAAATAACAGCAGGGTATAATATTGTACTAACAAATATGGCACACAGTTCTCGACCCTGATAGAAATAGGATGTTATAACCTGAGTTTTGTGTGACCTCTTTGTATTTATCAATACATGTAGAACCTGAGTAATGTCTACCATTGTTTTACCATTTAATTTTTCACATTCATACTGCAATCTGGTTTAGAACAACATCCAAGAGACCTAAAATTTAGGACCTCTGTTCAATTCTGTAGGAAGAACATCATTTTTCCAAGCTGGGGAAGCCATTCATTGTCTGACACCAGGCTATTGTGTTGTACTACAGTTGTCCTTGGAAACAAAAAGTCTTTGATAATGACATCGACCTTAATTAATATGAAGGGTTAAAACCCCAGTTCAACTGATGGTAAGATATTAGAGGAACTAGATGACATTACTAATCACACTTAGGTTCACCAGCTAGCATTATGTCGTTTGGCTACTACCTGTAAAAAGTCTATGTGACTGGCATAGATCTTGAGTTTACTAGTAAGGTCCATCCATTTTACTCCTACAGCGTCATCACCTGAAACAGAAAAGAGCTCAATAAACAAACACACAAAATAATAACTTACAAGGTTAATTGTATCTCCAGTGCCAACAATAAAACAATGTCATACTAGATGAAGGGTTCGAGAACGTCTATAATAATACTGACATACTTCCAGTAGATATGTTGTCCAAAACACTTAAAGTAATGAAATAATGGAACTCTAGTTACTGTACAAAATACAATAAGGGGCATGAACTTGCAATAACATAGTGATGGCAAAACAAAACAAAAAAAAACAAAAGACAATATATGCGAGTCTAAAAATGTGTGTACATCAAGTGGGATTCCACTACAGGGTACATACTTTGTAGGCAATTGAAGCCCTTCTGTAGGTACTTCATTTTCTGATGAACAACAGTTCACAGGCTGTTCACTTTACACAATTAATGAAATACTGTTACTGCCCACCACCATACTATCTTCATTAGTTCTATATAATATTATGTACTTTGTAAATCTGAGTTTTTACAGATGGACATCAGAAACAGGGCATTAGAACTGCCTACTTCTATAATGGTGGGCTAAAAGCTTGCTTAATGCTTTGAAATCATCCCCTTCCTTGAAAAAATCCTATTCTTCAAGCCACACCGATACACAAGATGATGACAACTGAGAGACAAAAGTTCAGGGATCTATCCACATGATATTGATTTACAATATGATGAACTTACCAGCATTTAACTCAATTTTACTAACTCCTGTACCCGACTCATCATGGAAGTTCAAAGCCACCGTTTCCATCCAGGAGTTATCAGTGTTACGAGGGTCGTCCACGTAGCCTCTATATACCTGTAACAACGATCGTTGGCCCCGTTACACCACACCGAACACATTACACACACACCCTAAAACTTCTTATAATCACAAATACATGCACATGGTTTATAAAAAGAAATTATGAAGTTAGTTAATAGCAGTCTAACTGAGCAAGTAATTCATTAATGGTTTATAACATAGCTAACTCTGAAAACATTTCTACTGAATTACAACATTGGTTGGTTTAATATTTCATGGATTTCTGCTTCCAATATAGAGAAATCAAAATTAAGGCTACCGTAAAAACCCATGTAATTTGCGCACTTTTTTTCAGAAATTTAATACCCAAAGTGGGGGGTGCGTAAAATACACAGGTATAGAAAATTTCAAGTTTTTTTCAGGAAAAGATCGACGATTCTGAGAGATCGCCATCTTGGATTATGTCCCTTGGTACACGGAACTCTTAGACAAATGACGATCAACAAATTTATTTATGTCAAACATTAATAAAAGATACATAATGTGATGTTATGTGAGTTTATGTGAAAAGTATTAATAAATAGGTAACCGTTAACAAAAAAGGTTTAGCCAAATTCCAATGCCAGAGAATCGCCGATCAACTTACGACATTATGTTTCGACATCTCGGTGCGTTTCCCCATACTATTACGAAAATGTAGTTGTTCAATTTAAGCTCCGTTCCATGTAAGTTCTGTAAGGGTTTTTTCAAATCGCCTATGCGTATACGTATAGCATGTTTTTTTTGCGGCTCACTTTCATGTTGATCTCGCGTCAAACATTTCGTAAACACGTGATTGATAATAACCTCGTGAATTATTTCAATATTTATTAAATGAAGCATCGTAAAAATAGACCGCGTTAACTATTTTTTTCCTTGGATTAGATTTGAAGAGGATGTATTGATTGTCCACGCTTCTAGAATAAACATATTTTTTATAATCCCTTATCAGTCAAATCAGTCTGTAGTTATGACAATGCAGTAGGCCTTCGTAATTCACGCCACGTGTTGGTGAGTGAAAAAAACAACAACACGGTCCGTCGACCGCGACTGCAAATCATTTCAATTAGTAGAGCTATTGTTAACGGGTTATCACAGAGATAGTGTGAGCTCATTACTGCATTGGAATTTGTAAAAAATATCGCCAAACCACGGACTTTGATAATCTAATTCCATGGCCAAACTTAACTGTGACATGACCTGGTTTGAAGTGACGTAACCCAAGCCGCCATGATGAGCCCTTCTCACTGATCGTAATTATGATCAATAAAAGGTATCTAATTATGTCTTTCACCAGGAGATATGCACCAGCGCTTATTAAACATCGAATTACTTATTAATTGATATGTTTTTGTAAGCAAGTAAATGTTTCATGTAAAATATTGCTAAAATGAATTGATGTATGCCGATATGCGCACACGTGTGTGTCATGTGTGATCAGATAATTTAAAGAAAACAAGCAACAAAATACACATTTTACGTAGTTTCTTCTTGGTTTTAAATATCATTTTACATCAATGAAAAAAAAAATCATAGAAATATATATATTTTTTTTTTATTCAGAGATCGATATTCGGAGCATGAACATCGTTTTTTTCCAGGTTTTTTTAGGTGCGCAAAATATTCGAGTAGAAGCTTTTTTCCCGATTTTCAGCCTCAAAAAGTACCTGCGCAAATTACACAGGTGCGCAAATTACATGGGCTTTTACAGTAAATATCTATATATCTACACCAACTGTACTTTCTTGAAACCTGCCATAAGGCCTACCCATAATGCCACATTACTTTAACTGTACTTTACTCTCTCCAGACAGTCATTTTTCACTGAGCTTACCTCTTCTCCATGGAGAAATAGATCATTAACTGCCAAATCTAGTTCATCCTTTTTCTCTTCAGACATTTCTAATGTGTTCATGGCTTCTTCACCAAACTCCCGTTTTAATGTGGCCGTAATGACCTCGCCTGGATCCACCATTCCCTGTGAATTGAACATTACAAGACTAATTAATCCATTCTGTGTTATCCAAATTAGAGTATCAGACTAATCAAACTAATTGTCATAACATCTCGCTTCCAATCAAAACATCTCGCTTCCAATCATAACATCTCGCTTCCAATCACAACATCTCGCTTCCAATCATAACATCTCGCTTCCAATCATAACATCTCGCTTCCAATCAAAACATCTCGCTTTCAATCATAACATCTCGCTTCCAATCAAAACATCTCGCTTCCAATCATAACATCTCGCTTCCAATCAAAACACCTTGCTTCCAATCATAACATTTCGCTTCCAATCACACTGTTTGACAAAGTAGCAAAATGAAAATGCAAACACTTTGTCCCCCCCCCCCCGAGGAATGTTGCGCATAACGGCATTATTATAAGCCACTTTATTTATACATGTATAACTTTAGATCTCCACAGGCTAAGGTCTGATTTAAACATGTCGAGTAGGTTGGGAACGGATGTCCTTCCACCCAAAGATTAATTTATTTTTACAACTTTTTATCCCTATAAATATGGACTTTGCATGCTACCAGTATATTTTGATTGAAATCTGCCCAGCATATGGGGAGATGTTATTTAAGCGAATAGCTAATCTGACTCATCATTTACTTGGCTCCTTATCATCCAGGTGAGTTATCCTCTATTTATTATTTGTATAATTATGACAAGTGAGAAATCACCACCAAATGAGCTCACTGTGTTTTTTTTCTAAACATTTTCTTCAGGTTGGTAAGTATGGATTATGAGAAGTCCTTTTTACACAACCAATAACATTTTCTATGTGATGTTTTGATGACTAGTACAATATGTACACTGTCAGCTTCATCAGACAAATGACCAGTGAAGCGTATGCACACAAAGGAGTAAAATTTGTATGAGTTGTCCATAAAATCGATGTCGATTTCGGCTACGCTGAAAGCATATGTAAATTAGTTGTTATATATGTACCGAAATGACCCAATTCAGCTACGCGTTGTTAACACTAGGACATAGATGTGCGAGTCTTTGAGCCCCCTCGTCTCGATTTAGAACTGGCCCACTGTGGCGAATCCAGATGGCTTCCTTTATCTGCCGCTTGAACAGATTGCACTCTTTGTCCAAAACTTTGGAGTTATCCCAGTCAATCACATGGTTTTTCTGTGTGACATTGGTCTGTGATTGCCGATTTATTTATCTGGGACTCCGACTGTTTTCTTTCTGATCTGGTGAATTTTCTACCTTCTTGGGTTTCTGTATCTTTCCGGTGTTAACGTTCACCAAGGCGGACCCCAAATCGTCTTCCAGTCTCTCCAATATACGACACGTCGCAGTTTTTACATCCAATTTTGTATACGCATTCTGCGACGTTTTCTTTAGGTGTTTTATCCTTAGGGTGTACTAGGATATTGAGAAGCGTCTTGTGGGGCTTCATGGCTGTTGCTATGCCATGACAGCGATATATCCTCTTGATGGTTTTGGATATACCCTTTATATACGGGATAACTACTTGACCTTTGGTTTTGTTCTTATCCTTGATTTGCCTTTTCTTGTTCTTCTCCTTACTTTTGACAATTTCCAAATTTAACCTTGACAACTTACCCCAGTTAACCTTGACAACTTACCCCAGTTACCTTGACAACTTACCCCAGGTATCTGTGACAACTTTCCCAGTTAACCTTGACAACTTACCCCCGTTAACCTTGACAACTTACCCCAGGTATGGCCCACTGATGGTTGTCCCTCCTCTGGACGGCCACAAACTGTAAAATATTCTTACTGTCTTCTCCCTTCTCTATCACATTGTTATCACTGCGCCGCCACCTGTAACAAAGTGTCCGTACATGGGAGGTAACTCTGGTTTTGTGATAAAATTTTGTTAGTTTTGGAATTGCAACTTTACACCAGCACAGCTTTCAAAAATTCTCACTCACCCCACTTTCAAATATCAGACACTATTCTGTATTTACTGATTTTCCGTGATTTTCTACACAGCAATCTTTAGCAGGGGATGTTTTCTGCGACTCTTTGGTTTGATATCAAGGATAGAAATGTTATAAGGTTCACATCAGAACCATCTCAGGTGAAATTGATCATGCAGACATAATACACAGGAAATAGATAAAAAAAAAAAAAAAA